CTTTAAAAAGATGCTTTATTGAGAGAGGGTTCCCTTATCTAATAAGTATGGGAAACACTACCTATGATATATTTCTCTTAAATAACCTTGATGGACATTATCATTTTTTATATATTCAAGAAAGAAACCTTTAAAATGCATTTTGCCTGTACTTGCCAAATTACATTTTATCATGGAAACCATTTTTAAAATATCTTCACAATGATGGGCTCTGTAATTTTAATTTTGCTTTATTCAGTACGCTTTTCTATGCCTTCTTCATTTTGGGGCTTGCTCTTCTTTTTGCAAATGGTCATAGGAGTGGGTATGTGGGTATGTGAGTGCACCATTCCTCTGGTCACACTAAACTTTCAGATATGAAGAGAAGGCCTCAGAAAGGCTAACTGGAGTTTTTTTCCATGATTCTGTCTTTTTGATGACTCCTTGGATCTAGGTGAACCTCATCTAGACACATTTTAGACATCCCAGGTACGTGAGCTAAAATTTCTGTTTTGCCCAAACTAAATTAGGTTAAGCATTCACTTGCTATTGAAATAATTCAGATCTAACTCCACCTTTTCAGAGCAGAGTTCGCAAAAAGATGCTCCAGGGTGATAATTGATAGAAAAATAATACAAACCCCAGTTTTCTCTTAAAGGGAATATGGGTCTGTTAGGGAAGCTGAAGATGGGATGGACACAATAAATATGAGAAATTTTACATGATTTCTTTCTGTTTTTTTAAAAATATAATTAGAAATAAAAGAGGAAGATATTCAAATGGTCAAAAGTCTCAGAACAATAAACTTATTTGAATGCCCAACTCATTTACTTATTCATTTTAGAAATATTAATTAAAGGAAGTAAATAACATTAACATCCATTTATTGACAACAGTGTTGAAACTTAAAAAGTATTATTTAGTTTTCACAAGAAAGTCTGCAATATAGATAAAATTGTTTTCACTTTACAGACTAAAAACCTCAGTTTTATAGACCTTAAAGAACTTGATCAATGTCTCAAGCTAGAATATGGTAAAATTCAGATTTCAAAGCACTTACAGATGTCATCCAATGAAGTTACTCCATTTAATTTTTGAAGATGAGATAATTTTCATAGAATGTCTATGTATTATCTTTCTTTTTCTACCGTATCAATTTACCTTAAATTTAGCAACTTCAAACCAAATGTATCACCTTATAGTTCTGACTTTAGATGTCTTTTGGGAGAGACTGGTTTCTCCATTCAGAGTCTGCCAAGGCCAATACCAAAGTGTCTGTAGCTCTGCATTCCTTTCTGAAAGCTCTAGTGAACAATTCATTTCTGGATTCATTCAAGTTGTTATTGGAGTTCATTTGTATATGTTTGTAGGCCTGAGGCTTGTTATTGATGGATCTAGGTGAATCTCATCTAGACCCATCTTAGACATCTTGCTTGTTATTGTCCCAGGCATTATTCTCAGTTTCTAGATGCATGGAGGAGTCTCCCATGTATCTTACTAAGTTAAAGAAACCAAACTGAAAAGGCTATTTATTGTATAATTCCAACTATGTGGCATTTTGGAAAAGGCAAAACCATGTAGTCAATAAAAATAAATGGTTTCCAGTTTTTTTTTTCAGGAGTAAAGGATGAATAGACAGAGAACAAATGATTTTTAGGGCAGTGAAACTATCTTGTATAATACTATAATGGTGGACACCAGGTATTACATTGTTTTCAAAATCCACAAAACATACAAAACCAAGAAGGAACACTTATGTAAACTATGGACTCTGGTGATAATGGTGTCTCAGTGTAGGTTATCAATTGTGACAAACCTATTACTGTGGTGGGACAGGTTGATAATGAGTGAATTGTAGGAGTGTGTGGATAGGAGGTATATGAGAACTCTGTACTTTTCACTCAATTTGATTTTGCACCTAAAGCTGTTCTATAAAAAGGTCTATCAAAAATGAAATTGCTCAGGAGGACTTCACTGAGGAATTTCCATGAGGGTCCCAGTATATACAGATCTGACATTAAATGTATAAAATGTAGGAATTATTTTACTTAGGATTGGGTTGGTGTTTTCTAAAAATCTGGTTGTTATACTATTACAGATTAAATTGCATTTAAATTACACACAGTATTTTCTCCATTTGAACACAATATTGGAGATTTAATGGTATTCTTTGTTGTTTATGTTGGAATAAAATCCTCACTATGAATGGGAAACAAGCCAGAGAAAGATTCTCCATTTTTAAGAGCACATGGAATTAGGTTTAATCCTTCTTAACAACACAGGATCATTTCCTCCTCTCAAATTCTATCAACAAAATCACATGTACAGTTTCTTTTGTCATATAACATAACATATTCATAGGTTTGAGGGGAAAGGGAAAACCTACTTATTTTTATGAAGGACATTGTATATGTTTATGCCATTGAAATGAAGTACAACACTTAATTGAGAAAATTAAAGACAGATTCATGAGCAGTCTTAAAACAGAATAAAGTTAAAAAATTATACCCTTGATTTAAAATGGGAACAAACAAAATGAGAGCTTTTAAGTATTAAATGATAGACATTATTTATAGAATATTTTTAGGCTATTATTAAAGAAAATAAATATGACTAAAGTAATGCTCAATCTGGATATTCCATATGAGTAGACCGGGGTGGAGGCTCGTTTTATTCAAAATATAAATGAGTAAGTAAATTCTGTTGTGGTAGGAAACAAAAATCTCAACTGCAATTTCCCTGTTGGTTGCTTAAATGCATTGCCTGAGTAATTTCTTATGGCTATCTGACTGGCAACATTTTGGTGCATTTTGAAGGAGGCATGAGAATGGTATGAGAAATTGGGGATGGCTTTCATGCTATTTTTTAAAAATCAACTCTAATTTAAAGCAATTGCATGGGAAAACTTACAAATATTTGATGAGTGCCTTTTAAATGTCTTTCAATAATATCTTAGTTTTGAAAATCATTTTTAAAAAAGAGGGAAATCCAGTTTTGAAAGACAGTCTTGGTCTCTGTTACATTTTTTCTGCTTGTCTGCTGCCAATTAAAATGTAAAATTATAAATTTTGGCCTAATTAATACAATGCAAAAACTATAAATAAATCCTCTGAACTTTAAAAACATGACCTTGTCTGATTACTCTCTTTGGCCTGTATTTTTTCAGTTTATTCCCTCCAGCTTGACCAAACAATAAAAAATCATAGTAATAACAAAAAATGTCGATCCTTGAGGGAGTGTTCTACCTCATTTAACTACTTTGCCCTTTCCATATTCTCAGGACATTTAAAATTAGGGTTTCTCTTGCTCCCAGGAAGATGCCGTGAGTGTTGTAGGATGGTGCATCTATCCGAAGACCTATTTACTTCCTGTTAACTCCGCGGTGTCTCCTTTCCTTTTTCAATCTGTTCATATATTTGGGCGCCGATCTTTTGGCGCTTAGCATATATTTCTCGAAACTCACAGCCTCTACCTTCTGTATCCTGTTTCTATAGGCTGAGCCTAAGGAAAATTGGGTGGGAGAAGCACGCGGTGTCACTGTCCGTGGTACTGAAACATCATTGCTAAGCACATTTTTCTAACGCATACATATGTTCACTGTTCCCAAGAAAATTCAAAACTGTTCACTGTTCCCAAGAAAATTCAAAACTGGTAGAGTGGTGGTGACAAAGGAAAAGAGAACCAAGAAAATATTGGGTGAGAGAGATAGAGGGATGGACAGAGGGAGAGCCCTAAAGTCATAGCTCAGAAAGAATAAAAGACACCGAGGTGTGACATAATTTTCCTACATTTGCAGAAGTCAACAAGGGAACAACACGGAAGGGAAAAAATAGCTGACATGCACTACTATGAAGGAGCATTTAAAAAACGCATGCACCAAGTGATATAAAGCCGTCTAAGTCTCGGCATGAACAAAAGCATCCATGCTAGTGGGTGAGAACACCAGACAGGTGGCATGTTGGGAATGCAGCATCAGTTGTTATACCAAACTGTCATAGGTTTTCTTTGTCTTTATTTTTCTCTTGTGATTTAAAACAAAACAAAAATTGTCATTTGGCACCATGACAGAACAAAGATAACTGTAACTTATGTTTCACATTTGATGTAGCTGTGTACCATTTTGCTTCTAAGGACCTTTGTAACAGTTACATCCCGCCACTATCAACCCCCAGCAGCTGGTGGCTGGCAAGGGGATAGACTTCCTGTCCTCGCTATTTAAGTTCCTCAAGTAGAGTGTAACCTACGCGAGGACAAACGCCGGATCTTAAACATCAGACTCTGGATATCTCAAATAGCTTAAGTAGAATATCTAGTACAAATAAATGAATCACAACGCCTTCCACAAAGACAGCATTCAACAAAGGCTTCTTAAATGAGCAAATATTCCATTTGTTTTAACACTTTCATCCTCTTCCAGGTTCTTTTAAAGTCCCATCCCTCTCCCTTCGGGGCCCCAAGTCCCAATAAACCTCCCTCCCGCGTCAGTCACTACCTTTGCAGCGCTCAGGCCCTGCCCTCCTCCTGCCCTGTGTCAGCACCCTGTGGAGCTGTCCCTTCTTTCTACTCTGCGATTCCACCCACCCCCCTGCCACTAATTCTGAATGCTCGCGAACCTAGTCCCTTGGGGTGGGCCTGGCAGCTCAGAGAGATTCAGCTCCTGGTCCCCGCCCTAAGGGTAACGCGGTTGTCATGGACACGGCACCTGCGCCCTTCGGCGTTGCCCCTTCACCGCCATCCCCTCCCCCCACCTGCGGCGCGGAGCCGGCCGCGCCCCCCTGGCTCCGCCCCGCCTCGCCCCGCCCGCTCGGGCGCTCCCCGGGACGCGCGCGCCCGCCCCCACCTCTCCGCCCCGCGCCTTCCCTAGCCTTGCGGAGCCTAGAGGGCCGCGGGGACGCGCGAGCGAGCGAGCGGCCGCGCCTGCGCACTGGCCGCCTCCCCTAGCGGCGATCCGGGCCGCTGCCGCTCGAGCTTGGGCAGGACGCGGGGCGGGCGGGGGGAGGGGGGAGCGGCTTCGCTTCCAGCCCCGAGTGAGGCGGAGACCCGGGCGGGCGGGCGGAGCAGGCGGCACCGCACCTCGGCCAGAGGCGGCTGCAGCAGCTGTCCTCGTCCCCTTCGCCGCCTCTCTAGTCCCTTCTGTGATTACCACTCCAGCTGCTGGAAACGGGCGAGAAAGAGGAGGTGAGAAACTCCCACCGACCCACAGAGGTGAGTCCTGGGCAGAGCATCCTCCATCCTTGCCTGCCTCCCTCCCTTCCTGCCTCCCTCCCATCCTCTCCATCCTCCCCTCCCTCCCTGCTCCCAACCCTCCCTCCCTCGTCCTTCCCAACATCCCTCTCTCCTCTCCCCTCCTTTCTCTCTTCCAGCCTTTCTTTCATCCCTTTCTTCCTCTCTCCCAGCCCTACTTCCTTTCCACCCTTTCTTTCTTCCCCGTGGTCCTTTCACCCACTCGTCCTCAGGCTCAGCTCTGCATCCCTCTCCTCTTGTCTGCATCTCTTTACCCCCTTTTTTCACCCCTTACCCGGTGGGAGGGTCGGAGCATCCCTGCTAGATACGACTGTCCGGATTCAGGGGCTTCCAGAAAATTGGGCACATACACACTGAGAGGCATACTCTTGCATAGCAGATGCCCTGCAGGTCTCTAAATTATTAGGATTAAGGGTCAAGTTGTTTAGAGTACTGGAAACTGGAAAAAGAGGATCAAAAAAGAATATGTGGGTTTTTGCTCTATTAGGGTGGGGGTGGGGAGGGTTGTCACTTAGACATGTTGCCAACAGCCCCCCCACACCCCTTTTCAGCAGTTTCTTCTTTTTCTCTTGGGAACTACATATTCTCAGTGTGTGACACACTAATTTAAAATCCAGCTCTCTCTGCTTTGATTGTCGTCTCCATGAGAAACCACAACGAAAGAGAAGAGAGGAAGGGAACAAGAGAGAAAGAAGGGAGGGGAGATAAAGGGTGGTGGCAGGGGAAGCTTGTATCCTTTCCCCAGGCCTCTTACGAGTGACATTTTCAAACCACCCGCCTAATATTTGGCTTGGAATTGAACCCGTGTGTCCTTGGTTCTGTCACCACCTACTTTAGAGGCAGAAACTCTCTAAACTTTGATGCTTGTGCACCACAGTATTATTTATGGAGTGTTTTCTCTACATTACAAAACACCAAGGTGGATTTATTTGGGAAAATAGGAAGCAGAGCTAGAGATGTACTTTTGTTCATCATAGGTTAACTTCTAAAGGTCGATAATGGTTAGACAGTTTTTGGAGAAATGGGGCTATAGTCACAGGCTTGTAAATATACGCTTTTGATAGCATTAGCTGCATTATAGCCTTTAAAGATACCTTTATTCCTTCTCATCCACCTTATAGGGATCCCGAAGACTTTGGAAGAAAAATATACTGTGTGATTTTGTTTGTGATTTACACTCACGGAAAAGTTGAATTAGCTTCAGGGACCATTGTTAACAATTTAAATTTTCAGTGTATATAGAGGGACCAGAATTGAATTCATTGAAGTTGCTAGCAAAAAAACAATACTGTGGAGGAAACTATTGATTTTTTTTTTAATTCCCTATCACTTATTGCCACAAAATGCTAGATTTTACTTTGCTTTCTTTAGCTTATATTCCAACCGCTTATATGATACATATCTTAATGGTAATGTGGCAATTCTCCTTTTGCAGGCAGTGCTGCCAAAAAGTTTATTTATACATGGCGGGGCAGCCATGCCTGTTTAGTATATTAGTTGTCTCACTAGGGCTGAATAGTGTAAGTATAAATTAAAAATGGCTATTTAGAGGACAGTGGTTTGTACTGTTTATATTTTTCTAAAGAAACAACCTCCCCAAACCTGTAGAAGAATCTATAGATTCTATAGCTGCGTTTTGCATTTAAGGAATGTGTATAGAGGGATTAAAATTGGGTGGATATATTGAAGTTGCCAGTAAAAAACTGTACTGTGGAGCAAATTATTGACTTTTTTTCTTTCAATTTAAATTATATACCACTAGTGCAATATGCACTTTTGCATTTTATGGAAAGGTAAAGGAGTTGAGATGAAGAGAATTGCCTTCTTAAGTGATAGAGTGCAGATTTAATGAAGAGCTGATGCAGTTCATCACCTGAACCAGTGTTGGGAACATGCATAATATTAGGAATGATGGAACCCTCCCCACTTAATTCCCTGTGCTAGGAATGCAGTCTCCTTAATGGCTTGGCTGACTCTCCGGCCATGTGGCAGAAGCTTGGTTGAATTATCAGTGTTACTGATATCCTCCTGCAAAATTGTGGTCAACACTGTAGGTCTTTGAATAGTTACATTACTTAACTGTGAACTTGCAGAAAGGAGTGTTTTTTTGTTGGTAGTGTTCCTTTCCCGGAAATATCATGAGGCTAGTGAAAGACTTCCATGGTAATGAAGACTTCTATATGAGCTTAAGTTAGTTTCGTCCTAATTTACTTTTAAATGCCTTTCCCTCTCTCTATTGCTGTTTCTTTGTGTGACTTTACAGTTGTGAGTATGGGTAGGAGGCAGTCCCTCTTTCTGTTTGCTTTATTATTTGTTGCAGTTTTTCTGCACAGAGTTATATGAGTGTATGTCTCAGTTTTTAAAAAACTGCACTTACTATGGTAAGAAATGTACCTTTATCTGTTTCATTCATCCACTTGGTGATAACAAATTAAAGTTACCAAAGAACTAGCAAATAAATTATTGTTTTGTTTATAAAGTATTTGAAGAGACTAGTAAAATTAATAAAATATGAATTGGAAGAAGAACTAGTATTGTAAAGCAGCAGCTTGTTATATTGACCATTAAATCAGTTTACAAATAAAAATTTTTCCTCTGAAGAAGTCCATTTATAGAGGCTTCTGCCATTAGGTGACAGGCAACTGGACCTTTAAGAATGCAGAACACAAATAGAAAAAGAATGGAACATCTATAGGCACCCACCCCTAAGGAAATATTCTGGATACATTACATTCTCTATGCCTCCCTCCTTGAAGATCTTAACACTTGTACAAGACAGGGCTAAATAGTAGTAAGAGGTACTGGAAAGCAGAAAGAAGTAAAAGATACTGTCTTTGACCGCAGTTTGCAGCCTAGTTGAAGATAACAGGTATTTTTCATGAGGTCATATTTCACAGTGGAAAAGAATAAGATCTCTGTAGACACCTTTAGATGCGAGTACAGGTTCTACTGCTTAAGAGCTTTGTGCCCTTTCATGTTGTTTAAGTTTCTTTACTCATCTTTAAAATGGACATTTTTGGAGACTGATTTATGGGTTTGCTTTAAAGGTTAAATGTGTTTAGCATAATATGTGGTACAAAAAACTATATATTATGGGAGTATTATTATAATCAGGAGAAAAGGCTTAAAATCATCTCAGGATAGTGTGGACTGGAAAGATGGGAGAGAAAATAAGTATTAGGGGATTTCTGAAGAGAGCAGATATATATGTGTCCAGAAAAAAAATTATATTTAGCAATAGCATTGGTGCCTGTATAGAGCCCCTGGGAAGGATTTCATGCAGAAAGGGTACCACAGCTGAAGCCACAGAGATGGTGGAGAAAGCATGATGTGTTTGGAGAAACAACAGGAAGACTGTTTTTTTTTTTTTTTTTTAAACTGGAGTATTGAGCATACTGGTAGGTATACTAAAAGGTGTAAACATATAGTCAGAGTGAATATATTGTCACTTCGGATAGGACAACTGATTGCAGTATGGAAACCATTTTACCACAGAAGATTCAGTTACCCAAGGGTCTTATTTTAATTCTAATCCAAGGTGGTTTTCACAGTGAGGGTCCAGAAGATTCTTGTTATTTTTGTCTTTGAACTTCAAGGCATATTTCTAATCTTGACCTCTGTTGAACAATAGAAATTTTAATATTATGATCATTTCCACTCTCTCTTGTTTTGTCTTACCCCATGAATATTTCAGGTCTATATCATGGAGATTTTTTTTTTAAGTTGGACACAATACCTTTATTTTATTTATTTGTTTTTATGAGAGGCTGAGGATTGAACCTAGTGCCTCCTGTGCTAGGCAAGCGCTCTGCTGCTGAGCCACCAACCCAGCCCCAAGAGTATTTATTTTGACATATATGAAACCAGAACTTGTTAGGGGCACTGTATTTCCAAAGGCTTTATTTATTTATTTATTTATTTATTTATTTTTACTATTGTTGACTTCACCTAATTATTGAAGTCTTTTTATATTGATGTTCAAGATTATTAGTGATTTCAGGTAGATTATACTTTTCAAGTGTTCTAGGGGAGACTGACATGTCTTGATAACAGAAGGTCTACCTGAGAACTTGTACTGAGTAAGTTAAATACCTGCCCAGAATGGGCTGACGAATGCTGTTTAGTGTATTTGTTGGTATACCTTTGTTTTTACTTGAGGCTCATAAACTATTTTTGGAAATTTTATCCATGAGATGTTTATCCAGTAGCATAAATGAAATGATACGAATTAAATTATTTTATCCAAAAATAGATTTCCAGAAAAATTTACCTGCAAGTTGAAAGTTATAGTATTTATAGTGCTCATGTTTCATCTATTTTTAACATGTAGACCCAATTTAATTCCTTTCTCCCAAATGGTACAAAGCTTTTCTTATATTTATTTTTGTAATTCTATTTATACACAAATTGATCTTGTGAATATCAACTTACGTTACATTAGGCATAAACATAAACATAAATATATTTCCAAAACCTAACAGACTATGAACTGTAGTATTTTTATTTCCTATTTGGAAATCTTCCTTGATATTTTAAAGTTTTAAAGATTCAGCTGATCTAAATAAAACATTTTCAGATGTATCACTTCTAGTTAGTTTTACATTAAAGCTCCGGAGGTTTTTGAAAAATTTAAATTTAGGCATTTTTATTTTTTGTATAAACGAATTTTTATCTCAGAACTGAATTCTGGCTCAGCCATAAATATGCACTTTTATACCTCTTTGAAATTATTACTTGTAACATTATTTAAAACATGAAGTGAGCGTCTCATTTTATGGAGATTAATTTCATAGGACTTTTCTATTCAAAAGGATCTTCTTATTTTATTTAAAGGCCTGATCTGTGAGCACAGCTGTGAGAGCATTACTTTTCAGGTATGATGTCAACATGTGTTAGCAGGAGTGGAAAAAATAAAATTGTTTTCCATAAGTTAAGTTAGTGACCAAACAGGGAGGTGGAGT